TGCAAACAGTTACTTTACTTCTTCCTTTCCATTTTGAATGCCTTTTATTTGTCTTCTTGTCTGATTGTTCTGGCTAAGACTCTGTGTTGAGTAGAAGTAATGAGAGTGGGCATCCTTGTCTTGCTCCTGATCTTAGAGGCAGATTTTCACCATTGGATATGAGGTTAGCTATGCGCTTTTCGTAAATGACCATTATTATGTTGAGGTAATGCCTTCTGTTTCCAGTTTATTGAGTGTTTTTATCATAAAAGATTTTAAATCTTATCTAATTTTTTTTACATCATTTGAAATGATCATGTGATTTTTGTCCTTAATTGTGTAGTGCAGTATATTGATCGATTTTCATCCTTGCATTCCACTAATAAACCCTATTTGGTCATGGTGTATAATCTTGTTAAGGTGCTCTGGGATTCAGTCTGCCCATCTGATTGTTTTAAAGTGAACACCAGGCACAAGCAGGAAGCTAATCCACAGGGAAACATGTGATATAATGGCAGATACTGATACGCATTACGAAGAACAGCAGAACCTGGCAGCGAGGTAAAGAGTGGCGGGATAGGATGGGGCTGGTGCTGTTGAGATACAGAGGTTTGAGAAGCCCCCTGGGGAAGTGACAGTTAAGAAGAACCGAATGCAGGTGAGGGAAGGCCCTCACACAGGGGACAGCAGAGGCGGGAATTTGCTTAGAATTCTTGGGAAGTAACTGGGAAGGAGGGAGTGAGAGTGGGAACCAGAGACCAAGTCACAGAGGCTGGGGAGGCTCAGGATATCCGCGTACAGGAGGGCACGGAAGAGCCCGAGTTAGCAGACAGCTCCATATATGGCTTTTATTACTCACTGCAGATTTCCCCCTTTCTTTTTACTTCCTTTGCCTTTGCTGTCCTATTTCTAGAAAGAATGTGCTTGCTTTGTTAACCAAAGGGCAGGGCCTGAGTTCTATTCCACGCTTCCTCGGAGTAAGGGTTAATGGAGTGGGCGGAGTTTCTGGGCCCAGCCAGGAGTCCATTGTGATGTCTAATGTGATTTGGGGGGAAAAATCATTGTTTCTAAAAATAATACATCATGGTACATGGTCTCATATATTTTAAAGTTAGAATATGTGCCCAATATTTTGAATTTAAATAGTAGGAAGTGGGTTCCTTGATGGAATTCGTAGCAGAGTGTTTAACTGGCAGCAGAATGTACTGTATAGCAGTTGCCTCCATCCTGTAAACACTTGTGTTGGGAGGTCTCGCATCCCATGAAACAATTCTCCAGAATCTTTTTTTTTTTTTTTCGGAGGGAATGTGAATTACTCTCATGCTGCTGTGGGAACTAGAAGGTAAAAAAACAGCCTGGAGCTTGCAGACATTTGTCACTGTCCTTGGTAACGTAAGAGGTGTTTGTTCAAGCACATTAAACATCATGGAGAATGTGGAGAGGTTGTCAGCTTCGTCCCCAAATGGAGTTTTACTTACAGTCAGCCTCAGTGATTAATATGTATTTGTGTCCTTTAGTATTAAATCAATTTATTTGTTTTTGTTTAAATCCCTGAATTCAGGTAACTTGATTTTCCATTGATAAAATATTTGCTTGTTGTATCAGGCGGGGTGCTAAACTTGGAAGTTAAGAGTACTGAGTTAAATTTAAAGTTTGCTGAGAAGTGTTCATCACGATGCAGTCTATTTAACGTCTTGGCAGTGCCTCTGGCTCTTCTCATTTAGCATGTGAGGAGACAGGCTGGCAGCAGTTGTAAACTGAAACCTGGTTGTATGCAGAGACTGACGGGGGTACAAGGAAAACAGAAAATTTGGAAGTGTTACTCTATGTGTATGTTTCTTTAAATTAAGTGTGACACATTTGCTTAAGATAGAATTTTATATTCTCTTTATCAAGGTTATTATAACTTCATGATAGACGATCCTAGGACTGAAACTGGTTTTGAACACTGCTTTGTGAAATAACCACATTGGTCTGTTAATACTGTCGCGAGGTCAGGCGAGCTGCTTTGACCTAACGAGCGTGTTTGACAGTACGTTGGAGCCACCTTGCCCTCGCCGGCCTGACGTTCATTACTCAGAGGAGAGGCACGCGCTCCAGTGTATTCTTAGCTGCTCCTCCCCACCCGTCACTCAGCTGTCAGGCCCTATGGACTCCGAAATAGACCCGGCGGGGGGCGCGGCCCCGCTGCTGCGGGCGG